ACTAAATAAAAATATCATGATGTTTTTATATATATTTTTCAAAGATTGCGACCATACCAGTGATTGTCACGTCCACACCAGTGCAGATGTGTGTTCCACTGACCGATGGCATTGCGGCCGAGATCATATTTGTCATTGCCGCAATTTTGGAAAGTAATAACAGTTCTCTGTTGGTGTTTACTTTGGACATTTTATTAAATCTCTAAATCTATTTCTTCTTACTTTTTTCATTTAAATAGACAAATATTTGTAATGAATGTCGTATTTTAATGCCTAATTAGATTCATTGTTGAAGTAATCTCATGATATTTAACGTAACGTCATACTATGTACAGAATACAAAACACGCTTAAGAATCGAAGAATTAATCCCAGTACACGCTGCTGTAAAAACAAAGTCCGACAGGGGTCAAATTTATTATAACACTTAAATGACTTCGGTTATATAGCCACAAGGTCTTATTGTCGTGGCATTTTAGTCTGTGGCTCACTGTCAAAGCGTGTTACGAAATTTGAGAATAGAAATGACCTGAGTTCTAGATCAAAGGGATGAAATTTGTTAAAACATTTAAACAGCTTCTACTGAAAAATCAAAAGGTCTAGTGTCATGATATTAGATTAAACTCACTGTCATGTAGTGCTAATAAGTTCGTGAAACGAATGACCTTAACTTATTGTTCAAGGTTATAGAGTTGACATTGTCATTCAAACAACTTCTTTTGAAGAAAGGAAGAGAAATTACCGTGATCCATATTCAAGGTCACAGGGGTCAAACTTGATAGTGTACCCAAATAACTTTGTTAGTGAAGAACAAAGGTATTTGCATTCATGGAAAGGGCTTTTTTCTTTCTTTCAAGAAGTGCAGCAGAATTGGAGAGAGGGAAAACTATAGGTACCTCTGTGTTTATATATGTATGATTTTTACAAACTTTTAACCAAGAGAAAAGCGAATGTCTTACCACGGAGCACCAGTTATATCAGGCCTTGGAACTGGACACTAAGCATTGGTTGTCTAACCTAACGCATCGGTGATATCTGGCCTTGGAACTGGGCACCATGCACTGGTTGTCTTACCATGGCGAAAAGGTTTATCTGGCATTCGAACTGACTGTCTTATAACGGCGCACCGGTTTTTATCTTGTCTGAGAACTGCTTACTTTTAACTGACTGTCCAACAACGGCGCACCGGGTTATCTTGCCTTGGTCCTACGTACTTTGCACTGACTGTCTAGCCACAGCGAAACGGTTGCATCTTGCCTGGGAACTGCGCACACAGATTCTTTGATTTGATTAATTGTTGGAGCTTTACGTCCTTGTTTAGGTTATGACCGATGCGCAGATTCGACTGCTCAGCTGCTTTATATACTGTTGGCTCAAACAATTCATGGGTAACGCATGTTTTTCCATTTCTTATCGACTACCTAGTCTGCTGAGCGCTTACTTCCTATTGCCTGCAGCATCAATGTAATTTCCACTGAAATTCCAGGAATACCTTCTCTACACGCCTTGAATATGTCATTACAAAATCTAATGCACACGCGTACGGTTAACTATTTGATTGTTTGCCCAGTCCTTTGAAGATTACAGAGGAGCGACACCCAATTTCAAAGCCGGTCAATTTTAATGTTACGATGCCCCGCGATTCCGTTGATGTACATCAAAGGACTAAACTAGTTTTGTTGCATCATCTACAATGTGACAAGTGAAGCGTGTATGGTTTGTCATGACATCTTCCAGGGGTGCAGAACACGTTAGAGAGCGTAACCGTAATGTGTGACCCTCATTTACCTTAATGTTCAGGGTGATTCATAGATGTTTATATGTTAATATATGTGTGGTTCTAAAATTTGAAAAAGAAATTATATTGCCAAGCACAGCTCAAACACGTCCCAATTACTAGCATTTGAAATGAAGCATGACGCCAGTTTTACTCTGACATATACTCGGCACACTGTTGCTTAGTGAGTTGTTTTCAGCGGTTTAGAGTCGAGACACTTTTATTATTTATACCAAATCAATGCATCCAATGCCAAAAGATTTCATCAGAAATTAATCAATCTTCATTACAATACAAATCTATACTGGAGGAAAAGGCGTGGATAAGTTGATAAAACGTGTTTGTAAACATCTGCTCATATTTATAGCATTTTTTTTTTTTCAAATTAAACACTATCAATGTTGAAATATTCAAGACCAGTATTATAATATTTAAATATCGTTTGGGATAACTGTTAGAAATTATAATCTGATCAACTTGAATCTGTTATGGGTTTCATTAGAGGTCCACGAATTAAGGGTAAATCTCTTCGAATACTTTCAGAAATATGGCAAAAACATAAACTCTTATACGCCTGCATATCTCTTCAGTATCTTTCAATTATATGGAGAGAAAAAAATAACAAACACACGCACATTTCGAAATAAGAAAAACATTTAAATGTACCAGCTGCTAGAAAAAAAATACAGAGAAAATACTGCAATGTCACCAAAACCGTTAATCGAATTCAAAAACGATAAAACTTTTTAGAAAATTTACTAAGAGACAATTTCCAAAGTAAAAGGTGAATAAAACCAAGTGTTCCGGATGGGTAAGCGTCTCCTGTTTCATTGATATCCGACATTAACAACTAGGTAAAATCCAAATTATGTCACCGCTTCATAAAACTTATAGCTAAAGAATGTGTATTCCCTTCTACTGCATTGCATAAGTATTGGGAGCCTCTGTAACAAGCTCTGTTTCAGTTAGTAGTTAAGAAACTGTAATTCCTTCATCTTTGTATGATTTTCTAAAACTCAAATGTAATACAAATAACCTCAAAGTCATTCGTTGTCAATTAAGAAGATATGCAAGTGATTTGTTTTATCAGAAATCAAAAATGAAAGTTTTATCAAAACATAACAAAACAACGCCAAATTTCAGAAATCAGCAATTTCAGCTTCATAGGTGGATTGGTCGAGTGGTGAACACTCCGGCCTTTCACGCAGGCGGCAGGGGTTCGATCTCAAAAGTCGTCGTACGCATGGATTATTCAGAGAAAGGATTTTTCTACTGCCAACACAACTCAAACAACCCAGGTGGAGTATTAGATGGTCTAGGTTAGATGTTGCGGTATCTGTGCTGTACCATTCAAGTGAGGAGGCATTATAAATGATACCATTGGAAGCACGGTAACAGAGCCAGATAATTATATTACATTCACGAAGGTACTTTTGAATTTTGGGTGATGAGGTTTATTTTGAAAGTGCGTAATCAAAAGAACGTTAATTACGATATTGGTGTGATCTTTTATCTCCAATATCCGATTGTTAAACGGTAAAATAACATGGTATTTTTTAATTATTTCTGTAGATTCATGGTTCTCATATTCTTTGGGCATTTAATTTCGCAGTATTTTTGTTGATCGCGAATAAAGCGAAATTATATTTCCCGTGAAAATAACCAACTGTAGAGTATTTGATAAAAAAAAAAACTTAGTAAGAGCTTTATTATCATAAAGTCTCAAAAATCTAAATTAGGAGTACCTATGCATGTATAACTATATGTTGCCTTAACAAGCGTCCTTTAAACTTTTTGTCCCTTTGAAATATCTATCCGGATAAGTATTCTATGCATACATAATCAGTTGGTTAGGATATAGTCTCGTTCAACCAGACTCTTGTTGTCTGCGCAAGCTACGCCAAACAGAGACAAGTGATCAAGCGTCTGGTTGAACGAGACTAGTTAGGATCCCAATGGTTTGGATTTCCATCATGCTTTGAGGCAACATGCATATGGCAGTTGTCATGGGAACTAGACCTCTCGTCTGTCTGTCACCACAACTCTTCATCATGTTCTGCCGTTTTCATCCGCCATATTTGTCACAATTATCTCCTCTCCTTTTGATTCAGGTGCAGTCCAACAGGAGTGAAGATCTACTTGAGTTCAAAACAGAGACGATGAAAGTGATACGACAGAAAAGAACCGATTATAATGTTCTCTGTACAAAATGGGGTTCGTAGCTGGACTTCAAACGATGTGAATGCATGGTTGGTCATCTAGCCATCCGGGGAACCCCTCTTCCATGCCGGGAAAAGCTTTAATATCTAGAACATCTATGGTACTATCTAACGGTTTTTTGAGAGCAATACTAGAGTATCGAATTTATTCAATATTAAGGTTTTTTTCTTCTTTAATTGGTTCAGCGTTTCGAAAACAAAAGAAGCAGAATTATTATGGGCGGATTGGCCGAATGGATAACACTCCGGCCTTCCACGTAGGCGGCCGGGGTTCGATCCCCGAAGTCGTCGTGCGCATGGATATTCAGAGAAAGTGTTTTTCTCTTGCCCATACAACTCCAACAACACAGGGGGAGTATGAATTGGTCTTAGTTGGATGTTGCTGTATCTGTGCTGTAGCATTCAAGTGAGATGGCACTATAAGTGATGCCGTTGGAAGCACGGTCCCATTGCAAACATCTCCAGCACGTGCACACACGCAGGCATATACACACATAGGGAGATATTTAGCCTGGTGGCATATAGGACTAGTAGTTAGCGCCTGATAAGGCAGCTCCTGCGAATGTCTCAAAATTGATTAATGTATTTGATAATTTATAAATTGTATATCTGTGTACTGTAAAGCGTTTTAGAGTGGCTTATGCTAGCTAGATAGGACGCTTGATCAAATGCTGTATATTTATATTCTTTTTTATATTTACGTTTTCTAATTCGGTAATCCTTTCATTGTTTTCGTTAGTTTAAGTTCGTAATATCTTATACCGATAATTTAGTCTCTAATTGCTGAATAATAACAAACAAACAATAGTATTACCATACATGTACATGCTTACTTACAAATTTTACAGTTATTAACTTCAAATGCATTCATATCTATTGTTTTCGAACGTTTATGTTATTGTTTATCATGGGAAGAACATGTGTAATATGTTTGTAAAATGTTTACAAAAATATTGCTGCTCTTCGTTGGTTTAGATCAATCATGACTAATGAGATGCTCCTCAAGGTAAACAACAGTACTGTATTTCCCTATTTTATCTTTTTCTCATCGGTGTAGTGTACTCCAAGTAATGAGATATACATTGCTCATATTTTTTAAACTTCAGAGGATAGTCGGTAGGATGACCGGATTGGCCGATTGGTTAACACTCCGGCCTTCCAGCAGGTGGCCTGGGTTCTAACGCCGAAGTCGTCGTTCGCATTGAATATTCAGAGA